TCAATGGGCAGCACGTTGGTTCCATGTTTTTGCTATTGTGAACATTGCTGCAATAAACATGCGTGTACAGGTATCTTTTTTGTAGAATGACTTGAGTTCTTCTGGGTATATTCCCAGTAGGGGGATTGCTGGGTCATATGGAAAGTCAATTTCTAGTTCTTTTAGAAAGTGCCACATTGTTTTCCATAGAGATTGAACTGGTTTGCATTCCCACCAGCAGTGTAGAAGCATTCCCTTTTCTTCGCATCCTCGCCAGCATCTGTGTTTGTTTTATTAATAACGGCCATTCTTATTGGGGTTCGGTGGTATCTCAGTGTGGTTTTGATTTGCATTTCTCTGATGATTAATGAGGCTGAGTGCTTTTTCATGTGTCTTGTTGACAGCCCATATATATTCTTTAGAGAAGTGTCTATTCACGTTGACAGCCCATATATATTCTTTAGAGAAGTGTCTATTCACGTCTTTTGCCCACTTTTTAATGGGGCTGTTTTTTTGGGTTTTTTCCTTTGGGCACATTTGAGTTCCTTGTGGATATTAGGTCTTTGTCAGATACATAGTTGGCAAATATTTTTTTTCCATTCTGTGGGCTGTCACTCCGCTCTCTTGATGGTTTCTTTTGCTTTGCAGAGGCTTTTCAGTTTAATGAGATCCCACTTGTCTATCTTATCTCTTATGGCATGGACATCTGGGGTTTTGATCAGGAATTGGTAGCCTACTCTGATTTCTGTAAGGGAGTCGCCTGCATTTTCTAAGATTCTTAGAGTTTGAGGTTTTATTTTTAGGTCTTTGATCCATTTAGAGTATTTTTGTGTATGGTAATAGGTAGGGGTCCTGTTTCAATCTTCTGCATGTGGTCAGCCAGTTTTCCCAGCACCATTTACCTTTTATAGGTTCTCATCTCTCCAGTGGTGGTTGTTGAAGATGAGTTGGTTGAGAAATTGAGGTTTTGTTTCCACTATCTCTATCCTGTTCCATTGGTCCATATGCATGTTCTTGTACCAATACCAGGTTGTTTGGATTATTGTAGTCTTATAAACAAAGTTTAAAGTCTGGAAGTGTGATACCTCCCAAGATTTTTTTTAAAGGGCACTTCCTAATCATGGTGTTAAACGATATCCTCAGTTTGTACACAACAGCTTGTTTCTCTGTTCTATGTAGCAGAAGGGTGTGTGTCGAGTAGCTCTAAAAGTAGCATCAATTCATTAGGAAGCAAGGCTTGCTTTTTGTTTTGAAGGACCATTGGGACTGTAATTACTTTGCATTTTATTGAGTAGGAGATGATAATTTGGAGTATAGAGTGGCTTACTTTAAAATGAATCTGGCTTTGCTCTGTGTGCCTCATAGAACTTAGTACCTGGAGGAGGTACTGGAGCCCAGTGTGCTGTTGTACAGAGGTGCCAGTGATCTAGAGAGAGGCTGTGAAGCCCTGCAAGGATCCCATGGGAAGCCCTGAGCTGGCTAATGTAACACAGGTGTGTGGAGGAAAGGGATTGTCACGGAGGAGAGAAGCAGAGGACAGGGTCCTGCCCTGGAGTAGTGCAGGGTGAGGACCTTACAGCTCACTGGGAGAAGCAGCCCCAGGGGAAGCAACCTGATTCACAGTTTCAAAATTTAGAATGTAAAACAATGAAATAACATGCAGAGGTTTAAATGCTATTTGACTGGTTGAGGCGAGTCTCATAGATTTCCTGGAGTGGCAGTCATAAACAGAGAGACAAACATTTTCATTTACTTTATTTTTCTAGATGGATACATAATTGAGAAAGAATGTTGGATTAAATGGAGTTGGTAAATACCACCCTTATTTAGGTGTGCGAGGGTAAAACTTGGAACCATAAGCCTCCCACATTTAGCTGCGGTATTCCTTTTTAGTTATGCTTCCTCAGCAGTCATTTCTTTTTTTCTTATTGCCCTAATTGAGTTTCAGGGAGAAATGTCTTCTTGCAAGGAGTCGAACATATTAAACACCATTAGAACAAAATGAAATCAATCTATAAATACTAAGACAGAAAGGTGTCTGTGAAATAGTGTGTTAGTTTTCTATTGCAGCTGTAACAAATTACCACAAACTCAGTGGTTTTAAATAACACAAATAAATGAGCTGGGCATTGTGGCTCATGCCTGTAATCCCAACACTTTGGGAAGTGGAGACGAGAGGATTGCGTGAGTCCAAGGGTTCAAGACCATCCTGGGCAACTTGGTGAGACCTTGCTTCTACAATAAATCAAAAAATTACCTGAGCATGGTGGTGCACGCCTGTGGTTCCAGTTACCTGAAAGTCTGAGGTGGAAGGATCACCTGAACCCAGCAGGCTGAGCCTTCAGTGGCCGTGAGTGTGCCACTGCAGCCTGGGTGACAGAGTGAAACTCGTACTTCCAAAACAAAACAAAAAACAGAAAACAAACAAACGAAAAACCCACATTTGTTCTTTAGGTTGGAAGTCTGACACAGGCCTCGAGGCCAAAATCAGTTATGGCATGGCCGCTCTCAGAGATTCTGGAAGTGAGTCTTTTTCTTGACCTTTGTCAGCACCCTCATGCCACCTGTGTTCCTTGGCTCCTGCTGCCTTCTTCTGATTTCAAAGTCAGCGATGTAGCACTCTCTGACCTGGCTTCCAGCATCGCATCTCTCTGATTCTCCTTCTTCTGCCCTCTTCCCCTTCTAAGGAGTCTTGTGATTGCATGGGATCCACTTGGATAACCAGGCTCATCCCTGTATCTTAAGGACAGCTGGTTAGCACCACAGAACCTAACATAGCCACAGTTTCTGGGCATCAGGACCTCGACATAATGGGGGCCATTATTCTGCCAACCCTATCTAGTAGGTGAGAAAAGCCAGTTGTGAAACAGTTTGTAGAGCTTTAATTCCATCTGGGTTTTAAAAAATGAGTGTGGACCAGGCTTGATGGCTCCGCCTATAATACCAGCACTTTGGGAGGCCGAGGTGAGTGGATTGCCTGAGCCCGTGGGTTTGAGACCAGTCCAGGCAACTTGGTGAGACCTCATCTCTACAATAAATCAAAAATTACCTGGGTGTGATAGCACACCCCTGTAGTTCCAGCTACTTGGAAGGATTGCCGGAGCCCAGTAGGTTGATGCTGGGGTAGCTGTGAGTGTGCCACTGCACTCCGGCCTGGGCGACAGAGTGAGACTCCTACTCAAAGTAATTAAAAAAAAAAATGAGCGTGGTGATAACACAGAGTAAGATGTAGTCACTTTAAGAAAACTGTACTCAAGCTGGACGCGGTGGCTCACGCCTATAATCCCAGCACTTTGAGAGGCTAAGACAAGAGGATTGCCTCAGCCCGTGGGTTCAAGACCAGCCTGGGCAACATGGTGAGACCTCGTCTCTACAATAAATCTAAAATTAGCTGGGCATGGTGGTACATGCCTGTAATTCCAGCTACTTGGAAGGCTGAGGCAGAAGGATCGCCTGAGCCCAGCAGGTCGAGACTGCAGTGGCCATAAGCAGCATGCCACTGCACTCCAGCCTGGGTAACAGAGTGAGACTCTGACTCAGGAAAAAAAACCAAACAAACAAAGAAGACTGTACTCAAACATCGGACACTAAGAATAAAGTTGACTGCTTTACTCACCTTATCAAAAGATCCTCAAAATTTTTGTCCGTCAGGCAGTAGGACAGATATGCAGGTGACACGTAGAGGTTAGTCATGTGAAGTGGGTGTGCCATGTATCTCCACGGCCTCCTGGGGTGGGGGGCTCTGTGACTTTCTGGGCATTGTTGAAGTTTAACCAAGGGCATAGCAACTCCTTGATTTCCAACAGATAAGTGCAGATTAGATCTGGCTTCAGAATTTCTCTGTACACTGTGAACTGTACATTGTACAAAAACATAATTACTATCACACACAAAGCATAGCAGCACTCATTGTCTTTATTAAATTGATAGTGTGTTATGTGTATTCAGAAACATCTTTTGTTTACATAGTACTCTTCTTCCAACTCTGAATGTTTCAAAATATTTCTAAAATAAGCATAGGTAGAAAGTAATTTCCTTCAGAAATTACAGATGGAAACAGCAAGAATTCACAGCAACCTGGAGGAAACAGATGGCCCCAGATCATGCCTGCTGGTGGGGGCCATTCCAGGGCACAGTGACCATGCCATATCCTTCTGCAGAAAAACCACACATTTGGCCCAGTATTTTTATGGTTCACACAAATAAGACCTCATTGTTTTTGTTTCATGCATTTTGTTACCCTTGAAAATGTGAAAATTTCTGAGTTGAAATGCCTCCAGCGTTTCTGTTTATTTTTCTGTTTCTTGTATTATTAAACATTGAGTTTCTAGACTGAGGGGTCATGATATTTGTACCATAATTTTCTTGCAGCTCTTTTCTATTAGTGGTGGATTTTTAAACAGTTCATTTGAAATTCAAACTTCTTTCTTTCAGCCCTCTGGATTATGAACCATGTTGGTCTTGAATTGAGGTTGTTTTGGGGAAAATACTCTTAGTAACGATGAATGGAAAACTTTCTATCTTAATGATGTAATTTTTTTGTGCATTACTGGAAAGTGTAAATTAAAACTACTTGAATCTGAAGAGATTTTAGAAAATCTCTCTGAGTTAATTGGTATTTGAGTCTTCCCGTGTTCTAGACAGTGTTTCAAAAGGAACCTTAATGTGTATGGAATTTTTGTACTTAATCCATTGATTTTTCACATTGAATTTTCTTTCTTTAAAATAAAAAAGCAAACAAAAAAACCCTGTTGCCTGGGAAATCTCAGCTTAGCTGTCATTTGTCCTTTCTTCCTTCAACATTGCATTGATAGTCAGCAGGCAGTTTTACAGCCTTAGTGGGCAGGCTTGGTCTAGATGTTTGACTTTGGCAGGCCAGATATGAAATAGTTTAAATAGTTTTACTGCATATTTATTTCCCAGTGAATGTGCATTTGTTAGAGGGCAGCTTTTTTTTTTGAGTCTGAGGGATAAAATATTCCTTCACTGCTCTTTGTCCTTTCTTTTGTCTTATCATCCAGGTCTTGACAGACGCTGTGTGAAGAGGGAATGATTTGGTGATGGGGTGCTCCCACTGACCGATGGACCCAAAGAAGAGAAGGTAGAACCATTTTTTCCTTTTCTCCCATCCTTCCAGGAAAACACAGCAAAAGGATTCACATATGCATAGCTTCTCTTCAGTTTACCTTTCTTGTTGATTGTTAAGTGGGAATGGTGACATTTCTAGTTGGTTGATTGTTGAAGGGAGAAGAATATTTAAATAAAGCTGATTAGTGGTAGTTTTGTAAGCAATACTAGATATCTTCATTTTATAATTTTAAAGCTCTTCCAGCCATTTTTTTCTCACATGTTAATTTCAGGTTTTCAGAAGTAGCCTCACTAATAGTAATCATTTTTCATTCTTAGAAAACTAGGCATGGAAGATATTTAAAACAGAGGTTAAAGTTTTGACTTCTCTTCCATAGAACCATGGTTTTGCCGAATTACAATTTAAGAGAATATTATTTAGAGAAATTCTCAGGTACTCAAAAGAGTTTCTGTGCCCCATTAGAATTTTGGCATCAGTATTCTAGAAAAAAGAAAATGAAAAAGTATATTATCCATGGTGACACATAGGAAATTTTGACAGAAACATAGAGTATCTCAACATGCCCTTTTCTTAGAAGGAGGCATTTAGGACAAGGTCATTATTATGCAGCTGTGTGTTTTGTATTCATTGAACCAAAGTCATCAGATGGGTAGAATTCTTTGGCTGGGACCTGAGCAGACCATGAAGGACTTTGCTGGTATCTGTTATATATTTGATTCTTTAAAAATTTAAATGACAGTTATAGATTTAAACTCAACAAAGAGTGAAGTATGGATTCTGCTTCTCATATCTTTCTCATCAAATAAAATAAAATTTTAAAATAAGACTTCAACTTGGGCCATATGGTAACTTCAGTATCTAAACAAGGTGTTAATGTATTGAGAAGTTAGAAATCTTGACATTTTATGCTATCAAGTCATAAAACTTCCAAAAATAGCCTAAGTTTGTTTGCTTCTTAGATGGAGATAAGTCATTTGTGGATTTAGAGGCTCCTCCTGCCTTTTATATAAATAGTTGTTTATTGTGGCTCCTGTGTTATAACGAAAGCATAAGATAGGTGCTAGTTAGACCATCTAACCAGTCAGTCATGTGCTGGCAAAAGGTATAGTCTCATGGAAACTACTAAGGACAATAGGTACAGTTCTGAATTGTGGGAACAATTAAGCAATTTTTCTTGATGTTTGTAGCTCAACAGAGGCAGAAGGATCCAAAGAAAGAGGCCGAGTCCATGTGTGGCAGGCGGGATCCTTTTCCATAACACCAGAGAGACTGCCAGGCTGGGGAGGAAAGACTGTCCTGCAGGCAGCTCTTGGAGCGAAACACGGCGTTCTTCTGACTGAAGGTATTGAAAAAAATGACTTGACCAATACTAACCGAAATGCTAACCAATGCCTGATGGTGTAAGATCAGGTGGGAGTGTTTTTGGGGACTAGGGATTCTTCATGAACTCTTCAAAATGGTCTTAGTCTATCAGAAATCAGATTAGTTCTTACATTTAGAATGTACCATTAACCAGAATAAAAGAGAAGTTATAGCTTTTAAATGTTGTAGTAATAAATACATGAAGAAATTAACATTTTAAAAGGGAAAGTTGTCTATCAGAGATTCTTGCTAGATTTCTTGTTCATTAAATGTATCAGAATAATAATGCTGACAACAGCTAATATTTATTAAACAGCTGTGTGCCAAGCACTCTACTAAGCACTTACTACATATTGTCTCACTGAATCTACACAGTCACCTTATGAGGCAGCTGCTATTTTTTTTTTTTTTTTTTTTTGAGTTGGAGTCTCACTCTGTCACCCAGACTGGAGTGAAGTGGCCGCTTGTGGCCACCGCAGCCTTGACCTGCTGGGCTCCGGTGGTCCTTCCGCCTCAGCCTTCCAAGTAGCTGGAACTACAGGCGCGCGCTACCACGCCCAGCTAGGTTTTTGATTTATTGTAGAGATGAGGTCTCGTCAAGTTGCCCAGGCAGGTCTCGAACCCACGGGCTCAGGCAATCCACTCACCTTGGCCTCCCAAAATGCTGGGATTACAAGCTGCTGTTTTTATTCACAGATAAGGAAACTAAAAGTCAGGGAGGTTTCATAATTTTCTCAAGCATATCTGCCTATGGAATTGTTGGAGTCAGGACTGGAATGCAAGTAGTCTGATTTCACAGCCTGCTTCTGAAGCCATGCGACAGTGCTGTCTCAGTCCACTTGTTTCCAGGCATTAATAGCAGCACACAAGGGCATATTAGAAAACCTATGAATCTGTAGCAGATAGAAATGCACGCTGTAGTTTCTAAGAGAGTTACCTTTCATCTTGACTCAAGCTCAATCATGGCAAGTTAGACTTGGGCAAGGACTGCCTTCAGTGTGACTCACTGAAACATTTCTGCTCTTTGAGCATTTATTAATTATTAAGTAATTTGGTATTTTCCTTCTAGGAACTAAGGGAAGAACAATTCTAGGGAAAAAACTTAAGTCTGGCCTTAGTAGTTGGTTATATGGGGTAAACATGGATTTTTTTCTAATCTATTATTCTGTCACTTTTATTATATTACTTGAGACCTTAGAAAATGTCTTATTTATTTATTTTTTTCCCTTGATTTGGAGTCTCGCTCTATCGCCCAGGCTGGAGTGCAGTGGCACCATCACTGCTCACTACAGACTTGGAATCCTGGGCTCAGGGGATCCTCCTCTCTCAGCCTCTTAAAGTGCTGGGATTGCAGGCATGAGCTACCATGCCCAGCTTAAAATGTCTTATTTTTAAAATGTCAACTATATTCAATGCCTGCCTTATGAGCTTCAAAATATATAGTTCTTAAGCATATATAAGTGAAATTCTGCTATTGTTGCTTTCTTTTTTTTTTTTTTTTTTTGAGTTGGAGTCTCACTCTGTTGCCCAGACTGGAGTGAAGTGGCCGCTCCCGGCCACCACAGCCTCAACCTGCTGGGCTCCGGCAATCCTTCCGCCTCAGCCTTCCAAGTAGCTGGAACTACAGGCGTGCGCTACCACACCCGGCTAATTTTATTGTTGCTTTCAATAAGATATTTGGAACTAAGATATTTGAAACCCTTAATGAACATGAGTCTTTATTTTAATTTTTTTTTTTTTTTTTTAATTTTAGAAACAGGGTCTCACTCTGTCACCAAGGCTAGAGTGTAGTGGCACGATCACAGATCATTGCAGCCTTGAACTCCTGGGCTCCAGCGATCCTCCTCCCTCAGCCTCATGAGTAGCTGGGACTGTAGGTGTATGCCATCCCACCCAGCTAATTTTAAAATCTTTTATAGAGATGAGATGTCACAGCGTTGCCTGAGCTGGTCTCAAACTTCTGGCCTCAAGTGATCCTCCTACCTCGTCCTCCTAAAGTGCTGGGATTTCAAGCATGAGCCACTGCATCCAGCTGATATTTTTAAAATCTAGACTCATACCTACAAGTCTGAGGGAAAACTTTCACAGATATATATAAATAGCCTATTATTGTTTAGTACCAGTGTTCTAAGTATCAAAGTCACCAAAAAACTCATATCACTCAAGTGTGTAGTTTGAAATGGCACACAGATCTCCAGTGTTGTCTTTTTCAGTTGAGGAAATGGTCCTGATTAAATGATAGGAATTTTCAAGCTTGTCTTTATTAAATTTTACCATTAACTCATAATTCAAGGAGGATACTTCATTGATTCACTATTTTTGATGTACTCCAAGTTAAAAAAAAAAAAAAAAAGAGTACTGTCAAGTGTACTATCATTTGGGGGAAAAAGGTTTAAAAGACCTTAACCTTAACCAGTGAGCTTATTTTCTCAGTACTTTTTATCCAAACTATAAATTTCCCAATAAGTGTGCCTATCTTACCTCTAGCTAACTACTGAGTTCTTCTGTCACACAGATGCTGTGATGAGATCATTTGAGTGTATAGTATGTCTGTCATGTATAATAGGTTGAAGATAAAGTTTGTGTGTTGTCATCACCAGCCCAATTGCTGCCTTTGGGAAAAAAAATCAGTCTTATTTTTAAAATTAATTTTAAAAATCGGGCAAGTCTGGTCATATGGAAAAGAAAGAATGTGGGCTAGGTTCGATGTTTTTCTAAACCCATAGCCAACTCTTTATTCCATTTGGATTTTAGCTAGTATAGATGTGTACACATGCCCTCAAACCCCCAGAGTACCACAGGAAAATTCAGACATGCTGGCATACCTGGACATAAATACATTCTCATCATTCATGCACCAACTCTCTAGTGCCTTTCATTTTAATTCTAAAGCTGGCCAGTCATTCTGACAGCTTTGTTTGTGTTTTGCTTTGTTTGTTTTGTTGTGATGATTTGCTTTGTTTGTTTTGTTGTGATGATTTGCTTTATAAACAGATCTCACCTCCAAAAGGCTGTCTGGTATCTAGTACACAATATCTAGGGTGAACATTCCAAATTCAAAAATTTGAAATCCAAAATGCTCTAAAATTCCAAACTTTCTAAGGGAAAAAAAAAAAAAAAAAAAAGAAAGAAAGAAATGCCTATTGAAACACTTTAGATTTGGAATTTTCTGATTTGGGATACTCAGTCAGTATAATGCGTATATTGCAAAATTTGAAAAAGGCTGAAATCTGAAATACTTCTTGCCCCAAGGATTTCAGATAAGGAATACTTGACCTGTTATAAGTAATAAGATACACAGCATGAAGACAGCCATGTCTTGTTAACAACTGGGGCTTTCTGTACAGCCTAGAGGTGTGAAGCTAATTTCTTGGTTTTGACAAAAATCTCTAATATTTTTATGCCATTGCAGAATTTTTTGCTGCTCTGACTTGTTCAATAGTAGTGAATGTTGTGGATATGAGCCAATGTGTCTGTTTTAACTTATTTTCTGCTTATTTTATCATAACATGATTTTTTTTTGTCTTTGGTTACTTGAAATCTGCTTCTGTAATGACCTGTGATGACAGCCATGCTAGTGGATTAGTGCTAGGAGTTTGTAAGATGAGGTTGAAGGAAAGAGGCTTCTTGCAATTTGAAAAAAAATTCCAATTTTGTTTAATCTAGAGGGAACTAAAAGTTTGTTGATAGAATTTTTAGTTAATTCGCTGACTCTCTGTTCTTCAGATGGTGAGGTCTACAGCTTTGGGACCCTTCCCTGGAGAAGTGAACCAGCAGAGGTTTGTCCAAGTAGCCCCATTCTAGAAAATGCCCTGGTTGGGCAATATGTTGTTACTGTGGCGACAGGGAGCTTCCACAGCGGAGCTGTGACGGAAAGTGGCATTGTGTACATGTGGGGCGAGAACTCTGCCGGCCAGTGTGCAGTGGCCAGCCAGCAGCGCGTGCCGGAGCCAAATCCTGTCAGCATCTCAGACTCTGAGACCAGTCCTTCATTAGCCGTCAGGATTCTGCAGCTGGCATGTGGCGAGGAGCACACCCTGGCATTGTCACTAAGCAGAGAGATTTGGGCATGGGGTACCGGCTGTCAGTTGGGTCTCATCACCACAACCTTCCCAGTGACGAAGCCCCAGAAGGTGGAGCATCTCGCTGGGCGAGTGGTGCTGCAGGTGGCCTGTGGCGCCTTCCACAGCCTTGCGCTCGTGCAGTGCCTCCCTCCCCAGGATCTGAGGCCGGTCCCAGAGCGCTGCCACCAGTGCAGTCAGCTCCTCATTACCATGACCGACAAAGAAGACCACGTGATTATATCAGACAGCCACTGTTGCCCCTTAGGTGTGACGCTGTCAGGATCCCAGGTGGAAAACCATGCCAGCACTGCCATCAGCCCCTGCAGGGACACCCTTGACAGCCAGGGGGAAGTGTTTGAGAACACGCCTGTGGCAAATGCTCTGCCGGTCACTGCCGAGGCTGTGGAGCTGGATGCAGGAAGCGCTCAGATCGGAAGCTGCGATGCCCTTTCCTCCCAGCAAAACATCGTGGGAAAAATGGAAGTCTCTTCTACCAGAAACATCCCAGCATACCCTGACACTCAGGCCGTAGATGAGTACTTGCGGAAACTGTCAGATCTTGCAATAAGAGAAGACCCAGAGAACGATGGGAAGCCAATGCCATCTCAGGTACCTGCTGTGCTGTATGATACACAGGTATTTCTGGAGTTGACCTTTAGAGGAGCTTTTCTTGAGAAACTTTAACATGCTAAGGCTTGGTAGTGCTTCTTAATTATTTTATAAGTTTTAAAACTACATTTATGAGTGAAAAGTAATTTTTTTCTGAGTTTGACTAGCATTCTGTCTTATCAGTCAAGCCTATCTAAGGAAAGAACCTGAATTAGTGAAATAAAAATCACTCTTTATGTTTGGGTTCTGGCCCTTTTTGATGGTAAAAGATGCCATGTTGGACTTGTTTTGTAAGGAGCAAAATCCCATTTTTTTCTTGCTAGTACTTTTTTTCCCATAAAGTACTGAATTTTGGTGGGACTCTTGAGTAGCTTACTTCTAGTATAACTCTAGCTTCACAAAGATTCTTCCTACTGTATTTGTACCACTCTTCAGAGTTCAGTAGGGAGGGTTGTCATGTGACAGTTTCTTCAATTATACGGGTAAATTTAAAACTTACAGGTGATTACATGTTGGAGATTTTTCCAGTTATGGCCATGGTCCTTACTAGGCTTCATTTGGAGGGGCGGGTAACGTTTTCTTTATCTTAGCAAAACTATTATCATTTTGAAAACTTATGGCGAAATGGACAAAAGCTATTTACCAATAGCACACAGTAAAGTTTGAATCTTCCTACTTCAAACAAACTGTTCTAAAAGAATAAATTCTGTGATCTACTCCTAGCTAACCTTTTGATTTTGCTTTTATCAAAATTCTAAGATAAGAAAACAAAACAAAACTATCTAGTCATAAAAGAACTGTCATGTGTATGTGTTTGAGACCACATAGCCTGTTGAATTCTTTATTCTTGTTTACTTGTCTGAAAGAGAACATGGAGGTATTTTTAGAAATAGTCCTTATTTCACAATCTATTCAATCTTGTGGATATGTGATTTTTAAAAAACAATTAAGAATTAAGCTATTTGGAGAAAGGTATTATAAAATCTAAACAAAGCTAAAGTAATTAACTAGAATATGTCTAGAAAATGCTTAGACTGCATTCTTATTAAAACACTTGACTTTTTAAAAGCCGTTCTTAGCTGGGCTCGGTGGCTCAGCCTGTAATCCTAGGGCTTTGGGAGGCTGAGGTGAATGGATTGCCTGAGTCCGCGGGTTTGAGACCCACCCGGGCAACTTGGCGAGACCTCATCTCTACAATAAAATCAAAAATTAGCCGGGCGTGGTAGCACATGCCTGTAGTTCCGGCTACTTGGAAGGCTGAGGCAGAAGGATCGCAGGAGCCCAGCAGGTTGAGGCTGTGGTGGCCGGCAGCGTGCCACTGCACTCCAGTCTGGGTGACAGAGTGAGACTCCAACTCAAAAATAAATAAATAAAAATAAAAGTCATTCTTCTAATTTATTAAATTTAAAATTTTATTGTATACATTTTATTTGACTATTAGATGAACATAATTGAAATTGAATTTTCCTTTGGACTTACTTTACTAAACCAATTGGATTTTTTGTTGCTTATTCTAGTTTTGACAAGGTATGTTTCTATTAAATTTAATTTATTCTTTGTAAATAGCATCTCAGCTGTACACCTAATTCATGAGGAATTTATGTGGTTTAGGACAAGTGTTTCACCTTCTGGCCAGATTTAACTGAAAGAGTCTCTCACTTTTGAGAAATCAAATATTATTGGTTGTCTGGGACTCTTAAAATTATATCCTTCATCAAAATTGCTGACTGTGTATTTTGTTGTTGTTGTTTTTTGAGGTATGCTTATTTGCTTACTATGTATTTTTATTTTTTTGTGTTGGAGTCTCACTCTGTCACCCAGGCTGGAGTGCAGTGGCACGCTCATGGCTACCACAGCCTTGACCTACTGGGCTCAGGTAACCCTTCCACCTCAGCCTTCCTAGTAACTGGAACTACAGGCACACGCTACCATGCCTGGCTAATTTTTTGATTTATTGTGGAGTTGGGGTCTTGCCAAGTTGCTCCGGCTGGTCTCGAACCTGTCGACTCAGGCAATTCTCTCACCTCAGCCTCCCAAAGTGCTGGGATTACAGGTAGTAATTAAGTAGAAGGAGCCAGTTAGGACAAAAGATTTAAAGTTTATGGAAGATAAGAGTTTTGTGACTTTCCTCTAACTAATGGTAAGAACCCCCTAAAATAGTTATCCCTAAATACCATTACTGCTGCTCTTATGAGCCTTCGTAAACAGAGAGTGGAAATAGGGATGCTAATTCTTATGAATAGGATATCATGGGATTGTATTACCAAAGAAGTGATAGGCTTTATGTTTATTTTGTTTTGTGTGGTATAATTGTTTATTTTGTTGACTGCTTTAATTTCAGACTACATATTTGCACAGAAATAGCTCCTCTGAATATAGTATTCATGTAGTATTGAGTACATACTATATGTCCACACTGTGCTAGGCACCAGGAGTTATCTCCTTTAAGAAAATCAGAAGCCATTTTTTTTTTAAAAAAAAGAATTGGCTTGGTTTTTAATTCAAGGCAAATGAAGGAATAACCTGTTGGGATCCTTGGGTAGAATAAAAAGTGAATTTTTCAAGGTAACCTATGCTGATTAAGTGTTGATAGGTATACTTAATGACTTTCCTTTTTAGTAAACAGTGATGTTTGACAGTTTAGAGTACGTTTCAACTGATTTTTTACTAAGATATTAGAACATTTTAGTTTGGTTATTTGATATACTTGAGAATCACACTAAGACACTGGTGTTTAATTGTTAACCTACCACACTTACTCTCTATGGTACAAGAGCAAAGGTAATCCTGCAGCTTGTCTAGCTCTTGGGTCATGGAAAATAGCTCAGTGGTGAGATAGTAAAAGCACTTGAACTTGAGGACCTAATTTGGGGTATGGTAGGTTAGAAGGATAGCTCAGTTTCCTGCCTGGATGTGCTATATCCAAATTTCCATTTATAAAACATTTCACGAAAAGTCTTTTTTTCATAAAATCTACTTTTTTTTTGCTGTTTCTTAGTAGCAATCCGTGTAAATTTTCCTAAAAGTGATCAGTAATAAAATTTGCATTTTTTTCAGTCTTCTCTCCAGGCTGTCACTGTACAGAATGTGTCAGAGGCAGTGTTTTTCATATCTTTTCTTTTTATTTTTTTGAGTCATAGTCTTACTCTGTCACCCAGGCTGGAGTGCAGTGGCACGATCACGGCTCATCACACCCTTTAACTCCTGTGCTCAAACAATCCTCCTGTATCAGCCTCCCAAAAAGTGGCTTGGACTACAGGTGTGTACCACCTCACCTGGCTAATTTTTTTATTTTTATTTTTGTAGAGATGTGGTCACACTATGTTGTTGTCCAGGCTGGTCTCGAGCTCCTGGGCTCAAGCGATCCTCCCACCTTGGCCTCCCAAAATGTTGGGATTACAGGTGTGAGCCACCACACCTGGCCTCCATGCTTTTCTTTTCCCTTTTCTCTGACTATGCTTGAATTTATAAAAGCAGTTGGGGCTTGTTTTTAAATGCCGTGGATAAACATAACACCCATTTGGAGTACTCATTTGCATATAATGTGTTAACTCCATGATCAAGTACAGATGCCTTTGAGTTAGAGATGAAGAGGCCTTCTGTCGTTTCAGATTCTTACATGCAAACAGTGATGAATGTTCAACTTTCTTTGTATTCATTGCTTGTTGTATAAGGGATTGTATTTTTATACCTTTTTTCCTCTGTGTCTATTTTAGCCTCTTGCAGAAGAAGCAGTTCCTAATCTCCACAGCCCACCCACCACGAGTACCTCCGCCCTGAACAGCTTGGTGGTGTCGTGTGCCTCTGCTGTTGGAGTGAGAGTGGCTGCGACGTATGAAGCAGGTGCCCTGTCACTGAAGAAGGTCATGAACTTCTACAGCACAGCCTCTTGTGAGGCTGGAGCGCAGGCAGGCAGTAGCATGCCAGGCCCAGAGGGCTTGAAAGATAGCAGAGAAGAACAGGTGAGACAGGAGTCACTGCAGGGAAAGAAGAGCTCGAGCCTTGTAGACATCCGGGAAGAGGAGTCTGAGGGAGGCAGTCGCAGGCTGTCCCTGCCCGGGCTGCTGTCACAGGGTAAGGCCATAGCTGGGTGCTCCTGCCATTACACACTATGTTGTCAAAAACCAGCTTGCCTAGTTGCAAAGCCAACACAGTCAAGTATGGTGGTTTACTGAAATGGGGATTTAGAAGAAAGGTATGTATGTTTCTGCTTTAGAAATAGCTATAGAACGTAACTTACTCCTGACGTTTGCTCCTGCTTGTGAGCCTTATTATGGCTCTTATTTTATTGTTCTGGAATGTAGATGTGCCATGTGTTTACTAACTGGGACCTATACTCCAGACAGATGAAGTTGCAGGAGTGGATGAATGAGGAATCACTGTACTTGACCTGAAAGAGGAGATGATTTTTTTTAAGTTACATTAATAGAAAACTTCATTTTCTGAAATCTTTAGCAATAAACGTTTTGGAGTATCAAGAATAGTATGCAGTTGGTTCTGCATTTCTCAGTAAGTTGAGCAGTCTCAGCCATCTATGCCTTTGTGTCTCAAGTGGCCTGTGGACCAGCAGCGTCTGCTTCACCTGGGATCTTTTTAGAATCAGGTGCCAGTCCAGACTGCCTCAGTCAGGGTCTGCATTCTCACTAGGTCCCCAGGTGGCTGGTGTGCCACATGCAAGCCAGAGAAGCATTGGACTAGACCGGGAGTTGGCAAATACCCTGTAAAGAGCCACAGAGAAATGTGTCATGATGTGTGGGCCATACCGTCTCTATGACAGCTGCTCAGCTGTGCCATTTTTACAGAAAAGCAGCTGTAGACAACACATACACTAATGGACAAGGCTATGTTCCAGTAAAACTTTGCTGACAGAAACAGGTGGTGGGTCCTAGTCGACTCATGGGCTATAATTTACCAACTTCTGGCTTACAGGATTTTGTGTGAAGCTCAAAAATGAGGAATTCTAGACCATTCTAAAACTTACCTTTTCTACTCTGCCCTGTTTCCTACACTGTTCTGAGTACTTACTGTACCTTCCTGTGCCACCAAGCACGCTCCCATCCTGCCTGCCTCTTGCATTTTTCATCCACACAAATAAAACCCTGGTCCCAATTAATCTGAATGTATATATACATGATGTGTAAGAAAGCCCATGAGTTCTGTTAAGTCAGAAGGAGAATCTTGTGCCAGCATTTTCTTATTCTTAAATGTCCTTTAGCTTTTTAAATATATAAATATATTTGCCATCTCTTTAAACTACAAATGTGAAATACTGATTTTTGTCATGTCATTAGATCATGTGAAATATGCAATTCAACTAATAGGCTTATATTCTAAGGTTACATTTTACTTAGTAACCTAAAGTATCTTCAGAAACATTTTACATGCACTCTTTCCCTCTCTTTTTAAAACTCCTATGGAGTACATCCTTGAGGAAACTTCAAGTGGGCTCATTTGCATTTCTGTCTGCATACATGTGTGACATTCACCAGAAAAGCTGTTGATCTTAGGCAGTGATGATCACTTTCTTGTGGTCCCTAAGTTAATGACTGAGCAACTAAGTCTACACTTAGTGACATTTGATGATTTTCTTTGAAGTTTATCCTGGCACCAAACACTATTTAGATACTGTTTTATGCGGTTGATATAATTTTGAACACTTTGTAGTTTGATGTAGTTTTGAACACCTTTGAAAGATTATTTAGCTTCTCTATAAAATAATATGAAATATGCAGGCAACTACAAAAGTATTTTAGTATTTCCTTTCATAATCTTTTTCCCATCATAGAAATTTTTAATTTTGATATCTAAAATGAATCTTTTATTATAATTATTCATATTATATATTTGAACTTAGACTTTGGCTTAGAAAGCCTTTTTTTTTTTTTTTTGAGTTGAAGTCTCACTCGGTCACCCTGGCTGGAGTGCAGTGGCACACTCACGGCCACCCCAGCATCGACCTTCTGGGTGCCGGCAATTCTTCTGCCTCAGCCTTCCAAGTAACCAGAACTACAGGCGCCTGCTACTACGCCTGGCTAATTTTTTGATTTATTATAGAGACGAGGTCTCACCAAGTTGCCTAGGCTGGTCTCGAACCTGCGAGCTCAGGCAATTCACTTGCCTTGCCTTGGGAGTTCTGGGATTATAGGCTGAACCACTGAGCCTGGCCTTTTTTTTTTTTTTTTCTTCTTAAGAGATTGGGTCTCATTATGTTGCTCAGGCTGGAGTGTTGTGCTATTCACAGTCATGATCATAGTGCACTACAACCTCAAATTCCTGGGCTCAAGTGATCCTCCCACCTCAACTTCTCCAGTAGTGCCTGGCTCTTAATTTTTGCTTTGAAATGGGAAAAATATTTGTCAGCTTTAGTGTAGTATTTTGTTCAGCATATTCTTTAGAGTACCAATTCTATAGGGTATCACTAGATGTTATACAGAAAGGGATTCTGTGGCTAAATGTTGGAAGTGGTGCTGGATTAAACATATTTAAACAAGGCTTTTAACTGCAGGACTTTTCAGTACCATCCTAGGACTAATGTATGTGTGAATCTCTGCAGGGGAGGTAGTGGGAGTATAGAATGTCCTGGGGAGCGTTTGCCAATCTCATTTGACTGTGAAAACCCTTTTCTGCAGAGAACCTATAGAATGTGCTTCAAAAATACCATACCTCATTGAGCAGTGACTCACACCTGTAATCCCAGCACTTTGGGAGGTAGAAGTGGGAGGATTGCTTGAGCCCAGGAGTTCAAGACCAGCCTGAGTAACATAGCAAGACCTTGAAAAAATTCAAAGTCTTAGCCAGGTGTGGTAGCACATGCCTATAGTCCTAGACTCAGGAAGCTAAGGATCACCTGAACCCAGGAGGTTGAGGCTGCTGTGAGCTATGATCATGCCACCGCACTCTGTCTGGGTGACAGAATGAGACCCTGATTCAAAAAAAAAAAAAAAAAGCCATGGCTAGTGCATTTCTTTGAGAATCTTAAGTTTGTCAAAATGGTATCCTCCCGCCCAGCCCCTACACCTTCACTCTGTCTCTGGCTGGTTTTCAGTTTCCCCCAGGCTCTTAAGGAAGGCTGCACGGGTGAAAACGAGGACTGTGGTGCTGACCCCCACATACAGTGGAGAAGCAGATGCTCTCCTGCCGTCTCTAAGGACAGAGGTGTGGACCTGGGGGAAAGGGAAGGAAGGGCAGCTGGGCCACGGCGACGTCCTGCCAAGGTAAGTGCTCCCAGCACTTTTGGAAGGAGCTGGAGCTCTGAAACTCTGAAACTCACCTTTTTTCTAGAGGAAGCCTGGTCTTATCCAGCTTCAGCGTTTGCACACCATTAACCAGAACAGGCTGCCTCCTGGGTTTTGTGTTTGTTAACAGTGAAGACCCGAAGCACCTACAGTGCCCCTTTCCATGTATTGGATGTAAATTCATCTTGGAGCCCAGCAAAGGGTGCCAGGGATAAGGGACATTTCACTGGAACACTGGAACCATTCACATTTTTCACTTGTGAAAAAGAACCAGCAGTTTTCTTTATCTAGATGTCTCTCTGCCACTGCCCAAATAACTACAACTCAACATTACACTGTGTCTGTTCATGTACATCAAGAAAAAACTGGCATTTTCTTTAATAGGAACTCATCTGATATTAACAAGTTTTGGTATTGGGAGGTTTGTAGGTGTGTAAATGGAATGATTGTCTGAAGTAGTGAGTTAAATGTCTTCATTCCTAGCAGAGTGGAGGCGACTGTGGAATTAAATGACTTATCTCTGCACGGACTGTGTTTCATCGGTCCTGAGTATACTCTGCTATAATGAGTTATTTGTAGTTTTGTGATTCTTAACAGATTCTGAATTTTGGGGGTTTGTTAGTGATTAATAGAAAAAAATTAAGTTGAAACCTTCTGAAAATTCTTTATACTATTTAGGAGTAAATTGAACATATATCTGTTATTTTTATTTTAATGTTTTCTTTTAAAATACTTAATTTTACATGAAGGTACTTCCTCTATAATTTAAGAAAGGCCATGATTCTTGCTGAGAATACTTTGACCGTGTGTATATGTGTATGTATTTTTCTTTAAGGCTTCAACCGTTGTGTGTGAAGTGTCTGGATGGTAAAGAAGTAATCCGTCTGGAGGCGGGTGGTTCCCATTCTCTTGCACTTACTGCGAAATCCCAGGTAGGAGGCAAACTCTGCAGTGCTGATCTTGCTTTCATGGAGGCCAGCATGATGAGACTGAGCCCTTGTACTGAGTATCTGCTGTATGTCAGACCATAACACCTTATCTCACTTTAGCTTTCCAGTGTTTTGCATGGGGTTATTTCCATCTTACAGATGAGAGAAGTAGGGCAAGGGAGATTATGTAACTTATCTAAAGACACACACTCAATAGCAGAGCTTGGATTTAAAGACTAGTCTGTCTGATTTAGGAGCTTTCTATAGCATGCTATCATCTAAAAACAGAATCCAAGCCGGGCTCGGTGGCTCAGCCTGTAATCCCACGCCTTTGGGAGGCTGAGGTGAGTGGATTGCCTGAGCCCGCGGGTTCGAGACCCGCCTGGGCAGCGAGACCTCATCTCTACAATAAATCAAAAAATTAGCCGGGCATGGTAGCGCATGCCTATAATTCCGGCTACTCGAAAGGCTGAGGCGGAAGGATTGCTGGAGCCCAGCAGGTCGAGGCTGCGGTGGCCGGTAGCAGCCACTGCACTCCAGTCTGGGCAACCGAATGAGACTCCGACTCAAAAAAACAAAAACAAAAAACAGAATCCAACATTTTCCAGGGTATTGGTGAATTGCTGTTTGTTCTTTGGTGAAGAAACTTGTAGTAAGACATTAAGAAACAAACGAAAAAAAGACATTTAAAAAAAAAAATTATGAAACCTAAAAGTGACTGCGAGCATTACTAAAAACCTTGCCCACATATACATAAACCCACCTAAGAAGCTAAGTTTTTTAAGTTATTCTTAAATATATTATAGATAATGATTCTTCATCAATCCCTTTATATTTTTAAGAAGCCAGTAAAGGATTCTAAACCTTTTAAATGTTTGACCTTATTTCAAATTTTCACATACTAAGCCAAAAAACTAACATAATATATAAATATTAACATTAGGAAAAATTTATTGTTATTAACATGATGAATTATTCAAAAGACTTAACAGTGAGACATTTGAAGGATTGCCAGTAACGAAATGATCAAAAATTACAGGCTTTATTGAGTATATAAAATACAAAGAAGAAGCCGGACTCGGTGGCTCAGCCTGTAATCCCGCGCCTTTGGGAGGCTGAGGTGAGTGGATTGTCTGAGCCC